AAAAAACGAGGAAACACTTGCGAATGCGAAGTTCTAACGTGCTCGGAAAAAACTGCAATGCTAAAAAATGCTTGTGTTCAGTTGATTTATACAATCTTATATTTTAGCATTAGGAGAGTCAATGAGCGTATTTGCAATAGAAGTTAACTTTGAAATAAGGAAATGCTCTTTTCATCAAAAATTTTTTCCTAATGAACGCTGAAGATCCAAAAGAAAATTTTTGATCAGACAAACTTTTTTTCTTGTAGTAATTGATTTTCTTATTACATTTTTTCATTTAGTCACTAAAACATTTGGCTGATCAGAATCTCAAAGACGTGGACGCGGCACTAATCGATGCAGAACCGTTGATCGGAAATCAAACACTCAAAAAAGTTAAAGAGCTGAAAGTCTTCATTGAGGAAAAACAGTTCATTGTGTGGGTGAAGCAAAAAATAAGAAGTGAGTAAAAATAACTGTGATTCAAATTTAGCTTGGGGAACCCATTAGCACGAGAAACTTGCTCAGCCCTTATTTGGTGTCAGAAAAAGATCTTGTTGAAAAAATCCTAACTTTTGATTTAAAAATACTTGGTTGAAAACAACTCGACACCTTGGATTTAAAAAACATGTTTTTCATGCTGATGGTTTGATTTTGCTGCAATTTTTGAAACAAAATAACGAAATTTTGTCCCAGATTAGCTTAAGCTCGAACTTTTAGACAACATTTTTCGACATTTTTTTAAATTCCGTGGTTATTTCTTGATTTCTTATTTAAAACTCTCTGTTTTCATTTTTTTTTGAAATTAGGGATTTTTGAAGTTAAACACTTTGCTCATAATGCAAGCTTTATTTGCTCGACCTTTCATGTATTTAAAATGCAGATGAATATGGTTTACATCACCGAGGCAAACGAATCACTCAAATAAATGGGCAAACTATATCGTCCCAACACTAGACCAAAGATGCAGTTTTAAACATTTGGTAATAGACGATGCTTGAGTCGTGCGCAAAAGTCATGAAATCAACTCCTATGTTTTTTATTTGACAAAAAGCATGAGACATGTTAAAGAGCAAAATAAATTTTAAAGTTTTTTTTTCTGATACGGTCAGCGTTCCTGGTCAATATGCGAGCTTTGGAAAAAAAGCAGACCTGCATATCGTGTTGATATGCAAGCAATCATAATCCACTCAACGGAGGAATGTTCATTTTTCCAGCGAACTTTTAGTAATTCTAAAATGGATTTTTAAATTAAAAGTCAAACATGAATACAAAATCTTTGCTACAGGGGTGAATTTGTTTGTCGCATTTCGGTTCGTTTTTGGTTCTTCTAAAACCAAGTTAGATGCAAACCCTAATTAAAATTTAAACTGCGTGAAAAATGTTGCTACGCTGTGTTCATATCTAAAAATTGATGAAAACTTGCTAGTTATTTGAAAATTTGACTTTGGAAATTGCTAGTTGCGCGCTAAATTTTCAGTTTTCCGTACGCATGTAGCAAAAACGGCAAACATTCTGGCCCATCACTCGATTCTGAATAAACTAAACTGAATAATTTGGTACAAAGTAGTGGGTTAAAAGCCGCAAAAATATCAATCTGTTTTTGGTATTGCCTCTAGGGAAGGTTTTCAAAAAAAAACAACTTTCAATTGTTTTTCATTATTTTTTTCCATACAAATCGAAACACTAAGACACTTCAGCAACCAGTGTTGGCATGGGAAGCCTTATTTTTCCGACTTTCAAAACGAAAGTAACAGAATATTTGTGCTCGGGTGGGTTTTTTTCTTCAGACAAATTTTGACTTTTTAGCTAGCCGTTTTTGTCAGAATTGTTTTACATCATTCGAAAGTTATTTGTGTCCTAAGCTTAAATTTGAAAAAATATTTCACCTGTGATCAATCAAAAGTTATGGGGGTTTGAAGATTGACATTTTGTCCAATTTGGGACAATTAACACGCGATATATATTGCGCTCTTAACGCATAAGCGAGATTTAATCCGTTCTAGAAATCGTTCCAAATTGGTTGAAAGAAGTTTATTTGACATAACTTATTTGTTACAAGGAGCGAAATCTATGTACTTAATATGGCTATTGTACTTAAAATGGCGTGTGAGGGGATGTTTTCACAAAAATTTTTAATTTTTTTAAAACAAAATTTTAAGTTTATTCATTTACATTTTTCATGTTAATACTGCTCCATAGACCTTAAAAGGCAGTCAGAACATTCAGGGCTTCGACATGATACGAGCAGTCTTGTTGTTCTTGTTTTTGATTTGTTTGTGTTTCCCGATAGTCACGATTTCTGAAATTAAAAATGATAGTTGCAGTTCTGAGTTGGTACAACCGTGCCTGTTTTTAAGAGAAAATTTGAATTTTGCAATAGTATATCAGGGGCTGATAGACAGAGGGGGATGCGCCACTTCAGCAGTTCGACAGCCTGATCAACCGAAGGTTCCCCCTTTGCTACTATCATAGATCGTCCACATACAGCTGACTGATGCGATAAGTTTTCCAAAGGTTCCTTGGACACCAACTTTTTTACGGCACCAACTTTTCTTGCCTGCACCTCACTTCAAAAGTTTTTGGATCAATAGAGAATTTTATTACAGTTTTAGATAAGCGCGGAAATTCCTTCTTGTCGACTTAAAAGAAGCCGATAAAGTTTTTAATTGTTTTTGAAAATAATTCGCTCTAGCAAAAACTCTAGATCCGACCGTTTTCCTTCAGAAAAGTGTTCTTATCATTTTCATAGTTTGTCTTATGAAAAATATTTGTTTTGACGTGAAATTTTAGACCGACGCGAAATCAGTAATGCAACAGAACTTTTGTCGGACTGGGACAATGAATTGGAAATTGACAGAGTGACCTATTTTCAAGACACGCTTAACGGCTACGCTCCTCTAATTTTTGACCTAACCAGTCAAAGCACACTAGATGAGCTCATGGAGTGTGTGAAGAAGTTTTTCGAGGGCACGATAAAAGATTTGGCTCAAAAATTAACTGAGAGTGCAAACCAACAAGCTTGGTTACAGAACGCAATTGAGCTGAAAGGCTCAATAGAAAAAAGATCTTTATACACAGCAGCATTGATAAACGAGACCGGGGTTTACGAAGTTAAGAGGCGACAAATGAACAATGTAACGGACAAAGAAGTGACGGTTGGACATAAAGATGTGATTGTGTTGAAGTACAAGGAGAACCTAACTGAAAGTTTTCAGGGAGACAAAGACAAAGAATTGAATTTGGATGAGCTTCGAGAACTGCTAAGCATGCTCATGTTGGTTGGTCGAAAAGGTGAAAAGAAGCAGCAAACTGGAGACACCAGCAAACCGAAGAAAGAAAATGTAGCAAAAGCTTTTGCTTCCACATTTCAAAACGTGGAGCGACTTGTGGACTCGTACGTGCAGCTTTACAACACAGGATGTTCGCTTTTTAAAACGATTGCTATTAAAGTGACCAACAGTACAGCACAAAACTCCTCACTGAAAGCAATTCGATTCACGTTTAAGGACAGTTATGTGCCACTAGAAGTGACATCAACAGACCCAAACAGAGAACTGTCCGCCCTGTGCTCGGTGTTCGAGACTCTGAGAGCTAAATGGAACGAGTATGTTTTCGAAATGAGAACAAATCATCCCATTCTGAACGAATTTGACATGCAACAACTCAGCCACTTGTGTTCAGGGCTGGCACAGCTGCGCACGAATGAGGACCATGACTTGGATGAAGTAAGTTTGTATTATCTGCAGCTTTTGTCGCCAGATATAACGCAAGTCCAGATTGTCAAAATTGTAGAAGAAGCGTTAGAAGAAAAAGAAGAACCGGAGCAATCAACGATAATTGACGAAATACTTCAACCCTGCTGGGATGAGCGAAGCGAAATTGAGCAAAAAGTGCAAGACTTATGTCAATTCTGCTACGGAAACCAGCAAAAGGCGAAGGCGGCAATCGAGTATGCGAGAAATGTAAATAGCGATAATGCGGCTGATGAGATTTTCAACGATGCGTTGCGTTGGATTCAGATGGAAGGAGATAGCTGTGAGCCGGATGCAATTGAACGCATGGCTTCACAATTGGACTCTTACTTGCGTGATGTTGACAGGAGGGAGGTGGAAGTGACTGTGGCGGGAGAAGACTGCAGTGACAGAATTCAGAGTACTTTCTCAGAGAAAGTTGAAGCCGTTTTTGATTTATATGTGAATGGGTGGACAGGCAATAAAGTACTGGAAAAGTTGAATAACATCTTAAGTTTCTCACAGCTAAGCACTGTGCTCATGCAAATCAGAAAAGACCACGAAACAATTAAACCGAAATTCCCTTCAAACTTCAGACTCGGCGAGCCGAACCTAGTCATGTGTGAGAGTCGAAATCAAGTGTTGATGAATGTACTGAGTTTATACTTAGACCTTGGGAGCGGAAAACTTCCTCGATTGCGCAACGTTTTACTATGTAATAAGAACACTGATGCCGAGGAAATTGAATTGTTCCTACTGCGAAGCGTTCTTGATGCCCGAGGAGAAGTGTATGCGGTGGCTTTCGGCGAGCAAATGAGTCCAAGAGTAACCGAACATCTTGAAAATCTTCTGTTTAATCGTTTGAAAGAAAAAAAATCAGAATACAGACTTGTATTTTTCAATTACAAGCCCAGTAGCCAGTTGACAGGAGTTCTGGAAAAGTTCAAACGACAAAGAGCCTGTAGACCTTCAGAAGACTTACGAGTGTGGGTCTGCAGCAACCTCAAGCGCACAGGTGACGCGGCATCGATCGATGGCTACAGCTGTCGACTGGTTCTATCAAGTCAGCCTGCTTCAGGTTCGTAAAAAACCCTGCATTCGAGTTTGAGCAATCATATGACTTAAGTAGATGCGATTCAAAGTCAAATTTTTGATATGTGATACAAACGAACGTCCCGCTGATGATATGCCATACAAACTGGCGTCGCGCAATAGATATGCGATAAAAAATAGCGTCACTTAAATAATATGCGATACAAACTAGCGTAGCTTAGTACATATGCGATAGAAACTAGCGTCACGCAAACGATAAGCGATACAAACTTGCGTCGCACAAATGATCTGCGATATAAACTCATGACCCGTGCAAAAACAAGCGATACAAAATAGCATCAAAAGTTATGCCATTCCAGAAGCGTCGTGCATCGATATGCCATACAAATTAGCGTCACGGAAATGACATGCGATACAAACTACCGTCGCACAAATAATATACGATACAAACTAGCATGATACAAATGACATGCGATAAAAATTAGCGTCATACAAAAAAGATTCGATACAAACTAGCGTCATACAAATAATATGCGATCCAAAATAGCGCCAAACAAATGACATGCGATACAAACTAGCGTAATACAATTGTCATGCGAAATTAATAGCGTCATAAAATTGACATGCACTAAAAAAAGCGTCTCACAAATGATATTCAATACAAGCTAGCGTCATAAAAATGACATGTGATACAAACTAGCGTCATACAAATTATATGCGATATAAACAAGCTTCATACAAATGACATGCGATGCAAACAAACGTCATACAAATGACAAGCGATATAAACTAGCATCTCACGAATGATATGCGATACAAACTAGCGTCATACAATTGACATGCAATACAAACTAGCGCAAGGAAATTGACATGCGATATAATTAGCGTCATACAAATTATATGCGATATAAACAAGCGTCATAAAAATGACAACAGATACAAACAAACGTCATACAAATGACATGCGTTGCAAACTAGCGTCCCACAAATGATATGCAAAGCAAACTAGCGTCACACAAATGATTTGCGATACGAACTAGTGTTTCACAAACGATATGCAATACAAACTAGCGTCATAAATTTTACATGCGATACAAACTAGCGTCATACAATTGACATGCGACATGAACTAGCATCATACAAATGAGATGCGATACAAACTAGCATCATACATTTGACAAGCGATACAAACTAGCTTCATACAAATGACATGCGATATAAACAAGCGTCCTACAAATAAGATGTGATACAAACTAGCGTCGTACAAATGATATGCGATACAAACTAGCGTAATACAATTGACATGCGATATAATTAGCGTCATACTAATGACATGCGATACAAACTAGCGTCTCACAAATGTTATGCAATGCAAACTAGCGTCATACAAATCAAAAGTGATACAAACTGGCGTCATACAAACTATATGCGATATAAACAAGCGTCATACAAATGACAAGAGATACAAACAAACGTCATACAAATGACATGCGAGATAAGCTAGCATCTCACGAATGTTATGCGATACAAACTAGCGTCATACAATTGACATGCAATACAAACTAGCGTAATAAAATTGACATGCGATATAATTAGCGTCATACAAATGACATGCGATACAAACTAGCGTAATACAATTGTCGTGCAAAATTATTAACGTCATAAAAAAGACACGCGATAAAAGCTAGCGTCTCACAAATGATTTTAAATACAAACTAGCGTCATACAAATGACATGTGATACAAACTAGCGTCATACAAATTATATGCGATATAAACAAGCGTCATACAATTGACATGCGATACAAACAAACGTCATACAATTGACATGCGATATAAACTAGCATCTCACGAATGTTATGCGATACAAACTAGCGTCAAACAATTGATATGCAATACAAACTAGAGTAATGAAATTGACATGCGATATAATTAGCGTCAAACAAATGACATGCGATACAAACTAGCGTCTCACAAATGATATTCAATACAAGCTAGCGTCATACAAATGACATGTGATACAAACTAGCGTCAGACAAATTATATGCGATATAAACAAGCTTCATACAAATGACATGCGATGCAAACAAACGTCACACAAATGACAAGCGATATAAACTAGCATCTCACGAATGATATGCGATACAAACTAGCGTCATACAATTGACATGCAATACAAACTAGCGTAATGAAATTGACATGCGATATAATTAGCGTCATACAAATTATATGCGATATAAACAAGCGTCATAAAAATGACAACAGATACAAACAAACGTCATACAAATGAAATGCGTTGCAAACTAGCGTCTCACAAATGATATGCAAAGCAAACTAGCGTCACTAAAATGATTTGCGATACGAACTAGTGTTTCACAAACGATATGCATTACAAACTAGCGTCATAAAATTGACATGCGATACAAACTAGCGTCATACAACTGACATGCGACATGAACTAGCATCATACAAATGAGATGCGATACAAAATAGCATCATACAATTGACATCCGATACAAACTAGCTTCATACAAAAGACATGCGATATAAACAAGCCTCCTAAAAATAAGATGCGATATAAACTAGCGTCGTACAAATGATATGCGATACAAACTAGCGTAATACAATTGAGATGCGATATAATTAGCGTCATACTAATGACATGCGATACAAACTAGTGTCTCACATATGATATGCAATGCAAACTAGAGTCATACAAATCAAAAGTGATACAAACTGGCGTCATACAAATTATGTGCGATATAAACAAGCGTCATACAAATGACAAGAGATACAAACAAACGTCATACAAATGACATGCGATATAAACTAGCATCTCACGAATGTTATGCGATACAAACTAGCGTCATACAATTGTAATGCAATAGAAACTAGAGTAATGAAATTGACATGCGATATAATTAGCGTCATACAAATGACATGCCATACAAACTAGCGCAATACAAATGTCATGCAAAATTTTTGACGTCATAAAAAAGACACGCGATAAAAGCTAGCGTCTCACAAATGATTTTAAATACAAACTAGCGTCATACAAATGACATGTGATACAAACTAGCGTCATACAAATTATATGCGATATAAACAAGCGTCATACAATTGACATGCGATACAAACAAACGTCATACAATTGACATGCGATATAAACTAGCATCTCACGAATGTTATGCGATACAAACTAGCGTCAAACAATTGATATGCAATACAAACTAGAGTAATGAAATTGACATGCGATATAATTAGCGTCAAACAAATGACATGCGATACAAACTAGCGTCTCACAAATGACATGCGATACAAACTAGCGTCGCACAATTGATATGCGATACAAACTAGCGTAATACAATTGACATGCGATATAACTATCGTCATACTAATGACATGCGATACAAACTAGCGTCTCACAAATGATATGCAATGCAAACTAGCGTCATACAAATCAAAAGTGATACAAACTAGCGTCATACAAATTATATGCGATATAAACAAGCGTCATACAAATGACAAGAGATACAAACAAACGTCATACAAATGACATGCGATATAAACTAGCATCTCACGAATGTTATGCGATACAAACTAGCGTCATACAATTGTAATGCAATAGAAACTAGAGCAATGAAATTGACATGCGATATAATTAGCGTCATACAAATGACATGCCATACAATTTAGCGTAATACAAATGTCATGCAAAATTTTTGACGTCATAAAAAAGACACGCGATAAAAGCTAGCGTCTCACAAATGATTTTAAATACAAACTAGCGTCATACAAATGACATGTGATACAAACTAGCGTCATACAAATTATATGCGATATAAACAAGCGTCATACAATTGACATGCGATACAAACAAACGTCATACAATTGACATGCGATATAAACTAGCATCTCACGAATGTTATGCGATACAAACTAGCGTCAAACAATTGATATGCAATACAAACTAGAGTAATGAAATTGACATGCGATATAATTAGCGTCAAACAAATGACATGCGATACAAACTAGCGTCTCACAAATGACATGCGATACAAACTAGCGTCGCACAATTGATATGCGATACAAACTAGCGTAATACAATTGAAATGCGATATAACTATCGTCATACTAATCACATGCGATACAAACTAGCGTCTCACAAATGATATGCAATGCAAACTAGCGTCATACAAATCAAAAGTGATACAAACTAGCGTCATACAAATTATATGCGATAAAAACAAGCGTCATACAAATGACAAGAGATACAAACAAACGTCATACAAATGACATGGGTTGCAAACTAGCGTCTCACAAATGATATGCAAAGCAAACTAGCGTCACACAAATGATTTGCGATACGAACTAGTGTTTCACGAACGATATTCAATACAAACTAGCGTCATAAAATTGACATGCGAAACAAACTAGCGTTATACAACTGACATGCGACATGAACTATCATCATACAAAAGAGATGCGATACAAACTAGCATCATACAGTTGACATCCGATACGAACTAGCTTCAAAAAAATGATATGTGATACAAACTAGCGTCATACAATTTATCTGCGATATAAACAAGCGTCATACAAATGACATGCGATGTAAACTAGCATCTCACGAATGATATGCGATTCAAACTAGCGTCATACAATTGATATGCAATGCAAACTAGCGTAATGAAATTGTTATGCGATATAAATAGCGTCATACAAATGACATGCGATACAAACTAGCATCGCACAATTGAGTTGCGATACAAACTAGCGTAATAAAATTGACATGCGATATAATTAGTGTCATTATATGCGATACAAACTTGACATACAAACTTGACAAATTTGACGTGCGATGCAAACTAGAGTCTCACAAATGATATGCAATGCAAACTAGCATCATACAAATTATATGTGATATAAACAAGCGTCATACAAATGAGAAGCGATTTGAACTAACGTCATAAAAATGACATGCAATACAAACTAGCGTCATACAATTGACATGCGATAGAAACTAGCGGCATA